AGGAAGGAAGGAAGGAAGGAAGGAAGGAAGGAAGGAAGGAAGGAAGGAAGGAAGGAAGGAAGGAAGGAAGGATGGATTTGAAATTACATATGTGGAGAACTCTGATGTAATCTGATGAAACTTACCAACTAGAAAGGGCCTTGGACCTTATGGAAATCCTATTTATGTTAAACTTGGCAGATGTTTCACATGTGTGAATATTTCAAATAAAGGATATGAATTCTATGAAGAGAAAGGAAAAGAAGCTCAGATAACAAGATAAAAAGATGTAATACACAAAGTAACATGGTTGATATCTGTTAACAAAGTAACTTCTCTAAACCTCTGCCCCAGGTCAGTAGACCCTGGGGTGTTGTTTGGCTGGTGGGAAGCTTGCACATTTTTCTCAACAAATAAGCAGTCAAGTGAGCGGGAATGAAATCCCCCTGCCTCCACCCAGAGGTCCACATACTCCAAGTAGTTTACAATCACATGCCCATGAGCGGTGATCTGCTCGCTGGACCTATTCAGTACAAGAGAAAACAGATGTCTGCTCTTCCTGCCAAGTCTCTTTCTTGCATTTTAGGAACCATTCCACACGCATAGGGAGGTTTTTGTTAATTTCTTTCAGATGATGACTGAGTGCTTTACACCATGTGGGACCTCCAAGCCTGGCTTTTCTATGCAAGTGAACATTAGTGCCGTTTATCCCTCTCATAGCCAATGTGGGATCTAGTTTTCCACTTGTTAGAGAGGCCCTTGAACCCTTTCTGTGCCTAAGGATATAAAGAGGCCCATCGCACCCACTTTTGATTGGCCACCAATAATGGTCACCAACAGAATAACATTTTTCAGACAGAGCAATTTATTTTTTAGACATAATAAAACAGAGTTATGGTTTCCCATTGATTGTAAAGAGACTAAATTATCCTCATTCAAAAACACCACCAAGGACTTACAAGGGCTTACAAGTATATGATCCATTCACTCTGAATGACTAGTAATGAGAGAGACTGGTCACTTTAGGGATTAGATAGTTTGTGGCTGATGCTTGGGTTTTGTCCACCCCTCCTTTCTTTTGGCTTTAACTTTAAAATTACTACAATACCATGATTAATGTTTACAGGACAGGTTGACTAACTGAGAAGAAAGAAAAACCTGAAGGTTTTGCTATAGAAAATCAGACACTAGGAAAAAAAATCATAGGAAATATTTATGCTTCTTTAGTCCACTCCCTCTCATTATTATCAGACGATGAGTTGAGGACCCTTTTTTCTAGATTCTGATTTTTAGCAGTTTTAATGTTTTCTTCACTGATAAACTGTCAAATTGAATCAATAACTTGTAGGATATGCCCTAGTGTTATTAATATTCTAATATTAATCTACTAAAACACAGATTTAGAAAGTACTGAGCATCTACATTGTTAACTCCCTTTTAAAAACACTTAACATGTCTAATAAATTCTCTTTTTGCGCTCTTGAATATTAGTCATTGAGATCTTCATAGTATAATTTTAAAAGTCTATAATGTTTTAATGTACATCCCTTATATGACCATTTCTATGCCATATCTTTGTCTGAGGAGTATTTTAGTGCACTTTAATTAGGGACTTCCCATCATCATTCTGAATCTGACTAAGGCATGAAAAGTTTTTCTAAGAGAGGAGAGTGGCCAGATCAAGCCTGATTCTAGGCCTCCAGACCTCTGTTGTTCAAGGTATGGCTCTCCAACTGCAAGCCCAACTTGCCTTTTCCTCCTGAAGTATTAGGGTTACTTGATGGTATCAGTCACAGATGTTTATTGAAACAAACTCAAAGTGCTAGGAGTTGATTGTGAAGTTGAGTGACTTTTGTTTTTGTTTTTGTTTTTTTTCAATGAAGTACAATATTGAAAGGAAATTTTGCAGCTCAGGCAAGGCTGCTTTGGCCTTTACCCACAGCATCCTCTGGTTGTATGGTCCTTCCTGGTTTTAGTATGGCTTATCTTGGAAAGTCTAAGCAGCCATGACTGGAAAGTATAGCCAACCTCCTTACATAGCTGCTCACAGTCCATCTCAGCCTCATGATTTTTGCTCGTTCTTCAATCTCTCATCCTATAAATCAGGCATCCTCATGTCCCTAAAAGAGTACTCCATCTGTCCCTTCTCTACCCATTGTAGTTTGCATACTTCTAGCCTTCATTACATGTTTCTCCCTCCTGTCTAACTATAAACTGCTAGATCATAGCTACTTCTAGTGGGTATCAGGGACATGTAAGAGACACTGGAAGTGCCCTTTAGCTGCATGACCACCCTCAGGGAGAAAAGACTGTGTTGGCTCATGCAGGACAGATTTCTGTAGTAAGTAATACATCTTACAATCCTGAAAAGCACCAGAGACTTGGGAAGTCGGGGCCTACAGGTGATGGCTAATCAAGGAACTGAGTAGTAATGATCTAGAGGAAGCTGCTAGAGGAAGCATGTGAAATGAAAATAAGGGAAAAGACTTCACCTTCTATCTACCTCAATATACCCCTGGACAGTACCGTGAAATACTGCCTGTATTAGTATACTACATCTATTAAACAAATCACTTCCCAAATTTCATATATAAAAGATATACTTTGTATAATTGACAGTAGAAAGTTTTGCTCAGCATAAGGTAATCAGCATCTATTTTTTGCTAAAAGCAGATAGTTGCCTATGTATGGCTGATGAGAGTCAATGTTCAGCTTACTTTTGATCATTTGGAAATGTTTAGTATTTTCTTAGACCACCTGTCCTCCCCCTCACACCCATGACCTACCCTGTAGAATATGGGGCACCCAGAGTGGGCTCTGGTACTTTATATCTTTGGGATTGACCTGTTTGCACACTGCCTTCCTCTGTGTCCAGGAAACTGTAAAAGCAGGACTTTTTCATACTTCCCAGTATTTGATAACTTTAATTCTTGTCCACTCCAAGTCATTTGCTGTTCCTCAAATACCAGAGTCTCTGTGCGTGTGTGTGTGTGTGTGTGTGTGTGTGTGTGTGTGTAGACGTGCATGCATGTGCACACACATGCATATGCTGAAGATTGAACCCAAGATTTCCAACATGTTAGGCAAGCACTGTACAAATCAGCTACCACCCAGATTGTTATTTTAAATCTGATAAGTATAGGATAAAAAGTCAGTGTTAAGTCTTAAAGATTATAGAAAAGTATAAGATTTCATTTCAGGCTTAATGAATGCTAGGATACACTGGAAAGCCTTTATACAAATTCAGACATGCATAATGCTTCACATATATTTTTATATATTTTATTGTAAAATACTGTACAGAAGGGTTACAGTTACATGAGTAAGGTAATGAGTACATTTCCTATCGAGCGTTGTTACCTCCTCCTGTTTTTCCCGTACCATCCCTTCCCCCCCCTACTTTCCCAACTCCTCCCTCTCCCTTCCACCCCCCCAAAGCTGTAAAGTTCATTTTCAACATAGTGTCTTGTACATCTCATTGTTACAATGGTGGCGCAATCGGTTAGCGCACAGTACTTATATAACACATATATTTTTAAAAGACCATTATTTTGGAAATCTAGTAAGTCATAATGAGTGTGCCATTCTATTGCCAAAGGCTAGCCCATCAATTAAGGATTTTACTAATAGTGCTTATTAAAGAAAAATCAAAAGCTTTCAGATGCTTCAATATGTAAAGATACAATTGGAGAGCTGGGGGTATAGTTCAGTGATAGAGTGCTTGCCCAGAATGTTCAATACTTAGCACAAGTTTTAAAAAAGGATACAGCTGGTTAATAAGATCAAAGGCTGATGTTTCAATGAAGGCTGTGCTAATCACACAGCTCCATGGGTGAATTTTGCTTCGGTCAGAAGCTATTCTTCCTGTCGGAGAGGCTTTCTTGATCTAAGAGTATTGCCTCTCAAACTTTCATATGCTTACTAATCATTTGAGCATATTAAAATACAGCTTATTAGTCTGTAGGTCGAAGGCTTGGGATTCTGTATCTCTAATAAGCTTCCAGGTAATTTCAGTTCTGTGGGCCTCTGACTCATAGATTACTATTGGTGGAGCAAGGATTTAGAAACCCTACTTGTTTCATCTACTTTTTTTTAATTTAATTTTATTGTCAAGGTAATATACAGAGGGGTTATAGTTACATATGTAAGGTAGTGAGTACATTTCTTGTCAAACTTGTTACCCCCTCCTTCATTTTTCTCCTACTTTCCCTTCAAATTGTACAGTTCATTAACAACACATTGTCTTGTGAGTATCACTGTTGCATTGGTTTGCCCTTTGTCCTTTGTCTCACCATTTTGTTGTTCCCTTTCCCTTCCCTAATTCAGATAAACATATATAATACCCAGGGTGCCAAAATCAAATGCAGTGACAACTTTTGACCTCAGCTTTCTTAAAACTCTAAAATTTTGCTCTGCCCATACTATGCCACTTTCTGTGGCTTTGCTTTTCTTCTCCGAGTTGAATTAGAAGCTCTCTTTTTTCCACTGATAACCACTACTTAAAAGTAGTACTTAAAGTGAATTCACAAAGCTCATACTGGATTGCATACAACTCGGTCAGAACCCTTTTTCATGTGTCTCCAAATTGGATTATTAGCAGTTTAACCTCTTGTACAATAGTGTGCCTAGAGTGGACTCCTAAAAATAGCAGTGGAGGAGAGGTTGGTTATATTTAGAAACTGCAAACAGCTGAGAGTTGTGGTTTCATGAGGACATCATCTCCAAGTCAGGAGAGCCTGCCAGCAGAGCCACCTTCTCATCTGCTGAGAAGGACTCTGCGACCTATGCCTGACCTGTGTAGATGGCCCAAACTTTAGATATTTTCAAGTATCCAAGGTGACATGAGTGTTCTGGACAGTCTATAATCCCACCGAGAAGTACTTGAATCAGACTTGAGCAAAGAGGGTGGCTAAATAAAAGTAGGTATGTTCACATAAATATCTCATGTTCTATTGGAAATTGATAAACAGTTCTCTGTTCTGCTTTAGCAACAGGAACAAGATCCTACCAACCTGTATATTTCCAATTTGCCACTGTCCATGGATGAGCAAGAACTTGAAAATATGCTCAAACCTTTTGGACAAGTTATTTCTACAAGGATACTACGTGACTCCAGTGGCACAAGTCGTGGTGTTGGCTTTGCCAGGTAAGCACACTGCCTTCTCCTTCCATAGTATATCAATAATAATAGTTCTGTTAAGTTATCCTAGAAAATAAAAGGTGACAAAAGAGAGAAAAATGAACCACTTGTATCATGAGCTTAAATAAATTACACAAAAATATTCCCAAATCTTGTGATCATTCATTGTAATTTCATTGTAACCTGCCTTTGGTGGCCCATAGCAAGGAACCATCACATAAGCAGTAATTCAGAAACCATGTGCCCTGTATTTTGATTAGTTATATTGGGATGTTTCTAACTTCTCAAAAATGTCAACTCCGTTGGGTACTGGTGGCTCACATCTGTAATCCTAGCTACTCAGGAAGCTGAGATCTAAGGATCACAGTTGGAAGCCAGTGGGCAGGAAAGTCCATGAGATTCTTCTCTTGAATTAACCACCAGAACCAGAATTGGTGCTGTGGCTCAAAGTGGTAGAGTGCTAACCTTAATTGGAAAAAGCTCAGGGAGTGCCAAGACCCTGAGTTAACTCCCACAACAGCAACAACAACAACAACAAGTCAATTCATCTCCTAAATATCATTAAAGATAAAATGTTAGCTCTAATTATATAGATATTTGATCCTTAGTCAATATAAGATTTAGTTGTCTTAATACTGAATACTTCAGACTTTAAAAAGGATATGAGACCTAACCAACATATAACATTTTAATATAACACAGTAACACCTACTAAGATGTTATAATTCTTCAGATTCTTCTGAAGAAATAATTTCCCAGATATGACTATTTATTCCTTTCATTTAATTTTTATCTTCTCCAGAAAGGATACTTGAGAGTAGTGGTTAATTGGTCTCTAGAGTAAAGATATTAAGCCCAATATTTTGTTAGAATTATCAACATAAACTGTATATTTCAAATCTGATTTTATAGGATGAATCACTTAGGAATTTATTAATAATGTGCAGTTACAAATAGTATCTAGACATTTCAAATTATTGAGTTTAATTTTGAAGGAATAACACTTTAGACCAAATACAGTCATATCTTATCACAGACTTGTAATCTCAAAAGAACATTATTATTACATGTTATTTTTATAAATCCAAGACAATTTGCAGGCAAAATAAAAATTTTCTCTATTGTCTCTGAGCTTCCAAGTCATGCAATAAGGGCTATTACTTCTAGCGTTTATTTATTCCATAGCTTTAGTAGGCCAGACAGTTTTGTAATTCTCTCAATTGCAAGTTTCCAAGTCCAGCATTGCCACTGCATGCTCTTATTGCTTAAAAGAATCACATAAAGTCAGACAGTGGTGAATGCCTATAATCCTAGCATTTGGAAGGCAGAGATCGGAGTATCACAAGTTTAAGGCTAGTCTATGATACGTAGTAAGACTCTGTTTCCAAAATAAATAAATAAATAGATCCAGGTGAGACGTTGGGTGGCTCAGCATCATCAAATCCTCTCTGTGGTGCTGTTTGGAGAGCAGATCAATTGTCGTACCTCTGCATTCAAAGGCAGAACCCTATTAAATTCTATGCATTTTTAAAATTAGTAACTTCTCAGGTATCCCATTTGGAAAAGATTGCTCAATGTTTCTTCCACTAAGGAAAAATAAGTCAAAGTAATTGAATTTTACCCCCCCACAAGTGTTTCTCAAACATTGTTAGCCAACTTAGATATAAAAATAATTTGTGAATTTAATCCCTAGTTTTTCTTTTTTTTTTGGGGGGGGTGTCCGGTCGTGGGGCCTGAAACTCTGGGCCTGGGCACTGTCCCTCAGCTCTTCAGCTCAAGGCTAGCACTCTACCACTTGAGCCACAGCGCCACTTCCAGCTTTTTTCTTTTTGCTTATGTGGTCCTAAGGAATCGAACCCAGGGCCTCATGCATTGCAAGGCAAGCACTCTACCACTGAGCCACCTGCCCAGCCCCTAATCCCTAGTTTTTCATTACTCCTTAAAGTCAAGATGACTAAGTACATAATTGACTTCACTAATTGTAAAATGAGAAATACACTAAGGCACACTCTGATCAACATGAGCTGTTGTCATGTTTTACTGTCATTTAGATGAATTCATAGAAGGAAATACCCCCTTTAAAAGGACCAATATTTTAGCAAGTAGTAAATATGCTAGTCTATTAAAGTGTTGGTTTTAACTCAATACCCTGACAAAGAAAGGTATTATGTATTGATTTTCAGTTTTCAAAAATTAGAACAAAATTATACATTTGGTACATTAATATTAAGCATTCTGGATATAATTCATTCATGATTCATGAGATACTTGCATATCAGTTTATTTTATTGTAGAATTATAAAATCAACAGTTACCTAAAAGAATGACTCTTCTTTTCTTTATCAGATTGATATTTTTGCTAAATTTAACTCATGTCCAGAAAACCTGAAAAAATGCACATGTACAGAACAAAATGAAAACTTAAGACTTCTATCTATTTCTAAATGTTTTGTTGTTTTATATAAATAGGATGGAATCAACAGAAAAATGTGAGGCTGTTATTGGTCATTTTAATGGAAAATTCATTAAGACCCCACCAGGAGTTTCTGGTAGGTTGTTTGTCTAAAATTTTATTAGTAGTCTTTTTGTGATGTGTCTATAATTTTTGCATATGATGGCTATTAAAAAAACAAAAAATGGTATTACTCTTTAAAATGTCTTTGTGTGTACAAATAAAACTTAAAAGTCACTCTTTTCCAGACACTAAATATGCATTCATCTCAGCAGACCCAGTGGTAAGGAGCTGCCTTACTTATAAAGTATTACAGAGCCCAAAACTCTTTTGATGTATCAGCCAGATTTTCACCCACCCCATCATTGCCACCCTCAGTAAACTTGCCATATTTAGGCGTATCCATTGAGGAGTGAAGCATCTCTCCATCTCAGCAGGGCCGAGAACCCGACTCGTGGCCATATTTACATCTCCTTTTTAGTTACCGTATGTTGTCATAATCAAGAACACTACACCTCAGGACCATTTCATATACCAAGGTCACACTCAGAAAATTCTGATTCTCCTGATTCTCTAGCTCCTTCTCCTGTAAACACTTCTAAAGGGTAGCCTTTACTTCTCACTGCCCATCATACCTCAGCTCTCCAGTGTACTATCTTCCCCTAGCAGGTAATTGAAATTCCTTCTGGTAGCCCTCTGGTTTTTGTGTGTTAGGGAAGCTGTAACAAAACAGTTGAGTGGCTTAACCAATCAAACTCAGTGGCTGAGTTCTGGAGTCAAACATCAAAATGAACAATTCTGTACTTAGTGAGGGCTATGGGGAAGCACCTGCTACAGCCCTTGTCTTGACTTTTTAACAGCCATCTTCTCCTGTGTCTTTTTCCTTTTCTTAGAAAAAGCTAGTATCAACTATGTCATTCAAGCCAGAAACTGTGCTCTGAACATCCCTGACCTCCTCTGTTCATCTGTCACATAAATAAATCATACATGCCCTTCCTTTTTCTTTCTGATTATTTCTAGCATCTGTTTTCTTCCTCAGTCACTGCCTCATTTAACCTCTTACCTCTCACCTGGGCCATTCAGCAGTCTCCTCAATACCTGTCCTGTCTAGTCTTCTATCCCTCAGATTGTTTCTTGACTAGTCAGATTAGGACATACTGTGTACCTCTGTATGGCTTCACTACCAGAAATCATCTCTTCCCACAGAAGAAAAGATCCAAGAGTCCTAGAATGACATTGAAGACAAAGGTGACTGGAGCTTTTGCACACTGCCTGCCTCCATTCCCTGCCAGCCTCTCCACTGAACATACCACACTACATCAGTTCTCTTTACCTTCTTTCTTGTGGTTTCCACAAGAGACAAGTTTCCCGTGTCTCTGTTCCCTGGGCTCCCTCTAACCTGGCTGTCTCCTTCTCTCACTTCTAGACTCAGCTCACAGGCTGCCTTCTCCTTGCACGTCTGTAGCCAGCTGGCTTACAGTCGGCTGGTGGAGGCCCCCGGGATACCCATATTATCACCCCCTGACCATGTTTACACATATCCACCCTGCTGAGGTGCAAACTCCAAGAAGTCAGAAAGTTTTCTTATTCTCCTTATGTTCTTGCCTACTCTAGTGATTGAACTATACTCAGTAACAACCAATATTTGTGGGTTTTGAATAAATCTAGCTACATTATAATGCCGAGACAGTGTGACTTCCTTACAATCTAGCATATGGGAGAAAATTGAAATACCTTTGATTTGCAGCCAGCCCCTGTAGCATACCGTCTGCCAGCAGGCAGTGTCTCAAAATTTAGAAACTACCTCACCTTACTTTGAAGGCAAGGTACTGAGATTAACATAGGAAAAAAGGAGAAGAAACTACTTTGACTCTCTTGAATTGTTTCTACCTAATAATTTTCATTCATTTTGTTTAGATGAGCTTAACATACTTTGACTCTGCTTCCCAATCTGTATTCCATATCAGCCAGTCATCAGGCTTAGGCTCCTCAGTTAACAGCCCCACTTTCTTGCCTCTACCAATATATGCCCCAGGGTAAGCTTGGGGTTCCATCCTAGGTTGGCAGAGGTATAGAAAGGGGCCTTTAACAGTGCTATCCTGACTACCTGTTTACCAGTCTCTACAGTAGGAGAGCCACATCAGAAAGATTTCTCCCAAATATACCTTCAGGGAGCAAAGCCATGAGCATATTTCTGAACAAGGCAACAGAGCCCAGAACAGCAAGAATAGAGCCTCTGTTCCATCCCACCAACTACAGCTTTTCTCCCCAAAGTATATCCAGCAACCTCATCACCTTTTAAATGCCAAAAGAGGTGACACTGAACTAAATAGACCCAGTGAGTTGAACCTAACTGACATAAAAGGCTGGGTCATAACAAGCCTACTTCTGGATGAGCACAGAGGCCATGCACAACATGAATCTCAGTTTGTCACACAGGACACGGCCAGAAAGCACTGAGGTATTTTGAAGTTAGATTAATTTCGGCCAGGAGTCACTGAAGTGAGCAGTTGCTACAAGGCTATGTGTAACTGGTATTCAGTATTTATCCTCCTGCGGTTCCAAGGTCCCATCTTTAACTGGATGACTGATGATGCCGATTAGGGAGTCACTTTAATTTTCTGTACCCAGTTTCATTTCATAGAGGAACTAATTTGTAAGTCTGCGGTGCCACAGGCTACATTTGATCTTGTAACACTTAAACCTGACAGATGCTGCTTCAGTGGCTATATCTGAAGGTGAACTGCTTACTGGCACAAGTTCAGCGTACAAAATATAAGACCTAGAAGGACTGTCTGAAGAACTCACCTAGTAATAGAGTTTTCCTGTTTGTTCTATAGGTTACTTTTGTTTTGCCATCACTAACACTTGAATGGAAAGGAAAGATACATATATGTATGCATATATATACATGCATATAATATAGATGTATATATATATGCACTTATATGTGTGTATATATGTACATATGTATCTACATACATATATATCTTTTAGGGAAAGGTACAATTCATGCCAAAAATGCACTTTCAAATCTTGAATTGTATACTTTATGCTCAGCCTAAGGGTGGTATGACCTCACTTACTTAGGCTACTGCAAGAGGCCCCTCAAAGAGCCATAATTATTGGAACAAGCTCTATGTGAAAAAATGCTCTTGGAAACCACTTTGTAACTTCTGTGGGTACACAGTGATGTACAAACTTCCTGTGCCTAGTACAAAATTAAATAATACAAGAAACACCCAAGCCAAAAAATAGTTCCTGCCCACGAAGAACTTCCAATTTAATTGGGAACCAAGACTAATACCCAGGGAAGATCATTAAACATTCAGAAATAGCATAAATCAAGCACTCATTCTGAACATAGAGGCAATGGCTTGAAAGCAAAATTGTCCCCCTTCAGAGATGCTCACAATATAGGTAGAACTCATTTGTCTCATGTGCCTCATTTGTCACTTGGCACAACTTAGAAGAAACTATTTTCTTCTTACTGTAGTGGTGCAGAGGCTTCTATAATTATTGACATGTGGTTTGGAAATCAAGGTTTAGGTTTGTTTTGTGTTTTCTCCCTTGTATGGGTGTGATCAATTGCCTAAACCCACTTGAGAGGAAACAGTCAGTGGACATGGCTATGAAGTCCTCCAGAGAACAAAGGAGACTGTCTTCCCCCAACCTGTGACACTCCACACTTGAGAAAGTGGAAGAACTTATCTCAGAGTTATACAACATCAAAATAAATGTGTTCAGGATGCTTTTCCTACTTGAACTTCCCTTGCTTCTTAGTTCCTTCTTGCAAGAAGTAAAGAGGTCTCAAGTAGATCGCGATTAATTCCAGTGGAAAAGACTACAAGTTAGGGGTCCTGAGTATGCGAACAGTAGTAGCTCAGGGGAAGCAGAGAAAACTCAGGTAGGTAGAAGTGCTAAATTTGGAAAGGGTTTACAGATGGCTCTCTTGCCACTGCTTGGGGCTCACACCTATAATCCTAGCTATAGAGGAGGTCAAGATCTTAGGATCACCATTCAAACTCAGCATGGAAAGAAAAATACATATGACTCTTATCTCCTATTAGCCACCAAGAAGTGAGAATTTGAGCTGTGGCTCAGTGGTAAAGCAAAAAAGCTAAGTGACAATGCCCAATACTGGTGTGTGTGTGTGTGTGTGTGTATATATATACATACATATATATATATATATGTATGTATATATATACACACATATATATATGTATATATATATACACAATATGTGTATATATAATTACATATATCCATGGTGTGTATATACATATATATGTATACACTATTGATATATGTATGTGTGTATATATATATTTATATTTCATTAGGAGGCAGTGAAAGTTTTAAATAATTTTTACTTTCTATGGACCTGCTTCCTTTCTCTTAGGAGAATTGTCTTGGAATATAGGCACTTTATTAAATACTACTCTGTCTTATTACCAGAATGGTTGCTCTGTAACTTCAGCTTCTCCACAGAGAACATATGATTATTGAGTAGAATCAAGGAAAGACAAAAGTATTGTCAGACAAGGGTAAACTGCACTAGAATACTACAGGCTCAGTGCTAGGCAGACATAACATTTCATAAATACAGTCAGAAGATGGCTTATTCAATGATGCACATTGTTTAGCTAGCATAAGCAGAATTATCCAGGATGATTCCTGTCAGCATACTTGGATTCTTGCACAGTTGGCAGTTTGCCTATGACATTGGAGCCAAACACAGAAGAAGAAGAAAACAAAACAAAACAAGACTAGAGTACTATCCTAGCTCTTATCCTGGTGTGTGCAGCATCCTCAGAGAGAATCTCTAGGTCTTCTTTTCACTAGCTGGTATAGCTGATGGTCAGTGCTCCTCTTGTTGACCAAGTCGAAAATATGCTCTGTCCAATAAAATTTAAAAAAAGAAAAAAACCTACTGCAAACACAATTCCCAAAAGCTCTTTCCAAAAATAAACTAAACAGTAAACTCATTGTTGGTCGTGGGGCCTGAACTCTGGGCCTGGGCGCTGTTGCTCAGCTCTTTGGCTCAAGGCTAGCGCTTGAGCCACAGCATCACTTCCAGCTTTTTCTGCTTAT